ACGTATTTCTCGAATTCCTCGGGTATATTCCACGTCTCAAAAAGTATGGTGTCACTTTTCACGACTTCAACCCGTGGAATACAATCAGAAACTATTCTTGACTTTATTCTAATAGAAAACTCTAAAATTCATGTATTCATTTTCATTCAGTTTTTATCTCTGATTCGTTCTGATTCTCTATCATTGAGAGAAATAGACTACAAATATCAAGAAAACGCATTTACATTGTGCTGTATATATGATGAAATTGCTTAGAAAGAATCCTAATAGATCGTACCATATACAACAATTTTTTATGAGAATTTTTGACCATTTTGTTATTATATGTGACACTCAAAAAGGAGAAGTTCATTATTATATCAAGTTTATAAAAACTGTCAAGCTATGTTAACTAGGAAATCGAAGCCTGTGGTATCGCGTCAAATCAACAGATATCACGAATTGCGATTGACCAACGAACATAATTATATAAAGAAATTTCAAGTCTACGGAAAAGAAAAAAAAATGCACAAACAATTGAATCTCTCATTGAGAACAACGAACTATAGCATGGTTTTCGTCTAATAGTGGATGTGTCCAATAAAAAGTAAATTCCATCAACTATATTCATATATATAGTCATAATAATTTAAGTTTCGTTTAAAATATGAGACTAATGAACACACTTTAAATTTTAATTAATGGTCATCAATATAAGGAAAACTTCGAACGATAGTAGCAACATTCGATCTCATCACTCTTGCTGCTGAAACGTGTTTTCATTATCTCGAGAACAAAAAAAAAACAAAGTTCTCACTTGAAAAACATCATTTTGTGGAGAGAATTGAATCAAAGTTTCGAAAAGAAAGGTTGATCACATAGGAATATAGAATTTTGTAAGAACATTTGAACAAAAGTCATACGATTCTCCGATCTTCAGATCATCGCGACACAAAATAGTGACTCGAGTGGTGAGTCACGAAATTAAAAAAACTCGTGGAAGATTACTATACAGTGCTTCGTACCGTAACTAATAATATCTTAATCATAAAAAATCGTTTATAAAAAAGGAGAAGGTTGATAACTGTTAAAATGGCTCCGTTGAGAAATTTAATTTCTTCGATGTCAAACTACCGCAAAATGTATCCGAAAGTGAGCCTTGATAGAATTAGTCACATGTATATTAAACTTGACTGTTGATGATAATCAGCACTTTATCTACTCATTTCATGAGCTACCAGGCTATTTTTATATGATTCGGTAGCGGTTTTCAGGCTATTCAAAATAGTATAAGAACAACGAGGAAAAAACACTGGTCGGTATGACTTCTTATGGAGTACATTGCCATAATATGCCTCTAATACTAGTATTCCCTACTGGAAATCTGTGACAATATCAACCAATCGATCGATTCGATCATAAGATTTCATTCTGGCATTGGAACGAATATTTTCTAATTTTCGCTTCTTGAGATTTCTTGCGACAGAAAATGACAATTTTTAATGCCTACATCGAGAAAGAAGGAAAGGAGAAAAAAGAACTCCCAAGGGACCGCATTAACTAGTCAGTCAATTCACTATTTTATTTTTAACGAACTTTATTTGTCTCATAAACGTTGATTTCAATCAATTTTAAAAGGCAATCAAATATTTATCATTGTTTTACTCAAGAAGAAGTAATTATTCGCATATATTCTCGATTAACCAACAAATAACATCTTTACTGGTTCTAAGCAGTTTATTTTGTATACTTAGATTTGACGAATAATCCTATGTCAGCATTCGATACAGCTAACGAACCAAGTTTAATTGAAAAACAAATGTTTTCATCAGAAATTTCTTACTATTAGTCAAACTATTAAGAATCAAGTTTTATTTAAACGGGTTGGTCTTGAGGATTGAATACCAACTATTGAATGTAATCTTAATATGACAGTGCCAGTACGATACTATATTTTTCAAGATGACAAGATAATAGTCTTTGCCGAACTAAACCCCCTCCCAGAATAAAAGGGCATGCCCTTATACAGTGTCTTGGCACATCGCTACTTTTTGGATGGCCTTCTATTGGGAGTCAATTTTTGGCCAGTTTTTAATTAAAATCATTTAAAAAATTAATAATTAATTAATAACTTTAATTATTGCTTTTTAGGTGTTTTTTGCTGAAAAAACTACCATTTTTTGTAAAAACTGTACTATTTATGATAGGAAAGGAAGGATTTCGCAAAAAAACATTAGAAAATCGATTATATTTCCTTAATTATTAATTAATATTTATGAAAATTTCGATAATTTTGGAATATATTAATTAATTAGTACATGGCCTTCTAAGAGAGCGTTTGAACTTTTGCTCGGACATGGCCTTATACAGAGGGTGACCTTCTAATATAGGGTGGCCGTCTATTTTGGGGGGGGGGGGGGGGCTTTATATAATTATAGAATATTTTATTCCATATTAAATACCATTGTTCGAAATTTGTCATGAAGATACTCTTTAAATGTCTCATATTCAAATACTTGTATTTGACGTCAAAAGAAGTTGAAGATAGAATTGTATTTGGTTTAGGTAATCGTTCAAGATCAAAAAAAAAACAAATCTTAATGGAACATCATCTAGATCATAGCATGCTGGACTTTGTGTTACAATCGGCTGACTACACAAAGTGCAGTAGCTGACTTATTGCTTTCGAGTCGCTTGCTTGCCATAGTAAATTCTTCCTTTTGTTCTTCTTTTCGACGTATGAGTCACAATTTAAGTCAACCACTAGTTCTCAGCTTCCGAATATCATTTTCAGTCAAAAATAAATGCGGAAACTTCGGATTTAAATCCGAGAGTTATGTGTACTTCAAAAAGTGAATGAGACAGATGAGTCGTTCTAGAACGTGTGGACATCAAAATTATACTGGGGAACCTACCCTCTAAACTGTTGATTTCTATTGAGTATTGCCAAACCAATAGGACTTGGGACCGAATACAGCTCAAATTTCAACTCTTCCCCTTGATTTACCCTAAGAAAGTCGTTTTTCCTATAACTTGATTTCTATTGGTCACTGCTCAACCAATAGTATTTCGATGGAAGTGGAATACAGATTCGAGTTCTCCATCTCAGAAAACCTCGAAGTATCATCACTGTGATTGGAAGATAGAGCTCTATTTGTGGATCAATTAGATCGTGAACAAAAATATAACCTAGTTCTCTTTAATTATCTTTGTGATAGATGAGCCAACCTTCTTGTTTCTTTATGTTTTATATACCATTTTGTAGCTCGTGAAATTCTCTATCGAATGGTATATAATAGTTGGGGTTTTAGTTGACTATGATAGGAAAAGTCTTTTACGAAAGTGGGGATGGGTCGATCTTTCCATAGGGAAGGTGCAGAGAAAAATGAGTATTTTTGCAATAACTCAGGAAGGGCTCGGCCAATCCTTCTCATCTTCGAACTCGACCGAGATATTGTTAAGACTGAACTGTGTAGAAAATTTCATCGCGATCGGACTCTCCTTTCGAAAGTTATCGGATAAACGGACGGCCGGACGGCCGGACACACTGACCGATTTTAGTAGTGTACTCACTTTTTGAGTACACAAAAAAGAAGCTTGGCACAATCATGAGAATGTGACGAGTGCACATCTAAAATCCGTTTTTTCGAAATTCAGTGGCGTTCAGGAAATATAAAAATGTCGAAAATGATAATTAACAGCTGATGTTTTCCTTATACGGTTATGGATGATTCAATCGAAGAGTGACCGTGCATATGTTAGATGTCAAATGCATAGATATGTTAACTAATTATCGTTTTGTGCGACATACAATCGTCAGCAACGAAGGCCTGCACGTCAAACAAATTTTCGAATGGAGGCCTGCTGATAGTTTTTTAGATAACGCCAGTGATATTTAATATGATTTCTTCTACGCAAGTCTAAGATTTTGAAATAGTAGATGTTGTATAGAATTGTTTTTTGATATTTTTCGTGTAATATGACGATTGCACATTTTAAAATTCATTTGCCTGTTTTTTTTTGTTTATATAGATAGTGTAATAAAAATACCGTACCATTTAATACCTATGAATCAAAATACTAGTTAGAGAATTAAGGTGAAACTATAATAGATTAATTATTCTTAATGCCTACGGGAAGAAATCTACAATGATATTGCAAGTAAACGTACGTTGTTCACTGTAGTCAGCCGACTTTTCAACTCGCGTTTGTTCCGAGTAGAACTCTAGTTTATTTTTCTAATTTTATTTCTTAATTAGATATTTTTGTGATTTAGCTGTTGATGAATCATTAAGTGATACTTGATAATAATTAATTGAAACTCTAATTACAATAATATATGAATAATAATGATTACCACTTCAATTATCATTCAATATATCATTACTTAAATGTATTAATAATATTAATGAATATAGATATCCAAAAACTAGTTTATTAAATCTTTTCAACATCTTAGAAGAACTTGTTTCAACAAAAGATTATTACGTCAAACTATACAGTATAATTAATATTATTAGAACATATATTTCTAGATTTTCAATATACTCTTGATACTATAGTTTAGTCAAGTAGCGTCAGATTCGTATAGACTATGTAGTATTTTTAAGTAATACAAATTAAATTGATGTGAATGTTTTTTGTTTCATGTTAAAAATAAATATTTAGTGAAATTAAGTTTAATAAATTGATTATCTTAATAAAACCATTCATTTCTGTCGAAATTTCGCTCGAAAAGATGGTTACTTTAAAAAATATACGCCTTTCATTTTTTCAAAACAATCAGGTACAAAGGGCACTGTTTATCTAGATTTCACCATACCACATAGCTATTACTAAATAAATATGAATCATCAGAACGCAAAAGAAAAATACGAATAAAAGAAACTAGTCTAAAAGAAAAATAGATGTGTCATACTCGACTTCTATGCCATTATGACTCATACTTTTACATTAGTATTGTAGAGAACAACAGATTTTGTCTTGTCACTTATATTTTATCTTAACATATAATAAAAGATATGTGTCTGCTCGTTGGTTTAATAATACTTGTTTATGTATTTTATCGAGTGTATCAACATTTATTTCCATCACCAGATATAAATCCACGTGATAAATATGTATTAATCAGTGGCTGTGATACTGGTTTTGGCAATGGATTAGCAATTGAATTAGATAAACAAGGTTTTAATGTATTAGCTGGTGTTTATAATCCAAATAATAAAGATTCATTAGCAAAAATTCTATCATCACGAGCAACTGTCTTTAAATTAGATATTTCCCGTCAAGAAGATATTGATGCTGCTTATGAAATGATAAGTAATAAAACAAAAGTTCTTCATGCACTTGTCAATAATGCTGGGATTGCTACAGCGGGATATATTGATTGGGTATCAGTAGAAACTATGCGTAAAATTATGGATGTGAATTTCTTTGGACATGTTACAATGACTAAAAAATTTTTATCATTACTTATAGCTAAACGAGATTCACGTGTTGTTAATATTTGTTCTGTTGCTGGTTATTTATCTAAGCCAGGTATGTCAGCATATGCAACATCAAAATATGCTCTAGAGTCTTTTTCTGATTGCCTTCGTCGTGAAATGGCTATATGGGGTTTACGCGTTAGTATTATTGAACCAGGTTTTATGCGTACGGGTATTGTTGAAGGACATGATAAATCATTACGCAATTTATGGAATGGATTAACAGATGATGTTAAAGATCGATGGGGTGAAGAAAATCTTAATTCACAAATTAAAGGAATTGTGAATGATATATTTATAAAAAATGCCGAAAATCCTGCCAAAGTAGTGCAAGCACTTAAACACGCCGTCATGAATACAGCTCCACGAATTCGTTACCGACCTGGATGGCAATCGAGTTTCATTATGTTTCCACTTTCAAGAGGTCCAGCATGGTTAACTGATTATCTGATGATCCGACCAAGCCTAAAAGGAGCTCCTCCTGCTGGTATACGCAAGCAACTCATTAACTAACTTATGAACGTATGTTGTGACACTTTCTAATTGGCCTTTATTACTAGATTAAAACAGAATTTTTTTTGAATGAATAAACTATACTTCAGAATATTTCTTTATGCTCTCAAATATATAAACCATTCGGTTATGATTTCCTTTGGATTTGTGAATCGATGTGCCAATCGAATACACCAAAAACTTTTGCCTGTTATTTTCAGTTACTGCTGCAAATAGTATTTCATTTCATATCAAGAATAGCCTTTCAGTCCGAAACATTAAGACATGTTTTTTAGATACAAATGGATGATTGATTTTAGTCGAATTCTATTCTCAATCGAACTATTACAATATTGACTGTCTATTTCTTTTCAATCCAATGTTTCACTCATCTGTTGTTAAGGACATCTACGTTTTTGATGATCAATCGCAATTATCAAAAATATCATCAATTAATCGGAGTTTTTCAGCATAAAAATCTTCCATTCATAGCGAACTTGACAAAAAAAACCAATAATTAATTAACTTAATAGATAGTGATAAAATTGTCAATTGTTACAGAAGTTTCACAACATTGGTTCCGACATGTGCATCGTGAATCCTAGTCTTTATCATATCAATACTAATTAATCAATGTAGTCATCTGTATTTAGCATGCTTTATTTTTAGCTTTAATAATATACATTGATCTATTAAAATACTTAAAAGGTAGAAACATCAAGAACAATTAGAAGAACAAAAGAAATCAGTGTGTGAATATTTATACCAATACAAAACACAATTAACATAAAAATGATACTTAATTCAGAGAGCCTAGCTAACTATTAAATGTCAAAACTATTTCTTTCTTGTAGTACTTCAGTTTTTTCAAACCACTAGCTTCATTTTTATTAACTATCATCATTTTTTTTGATTTGTTTCACATAGAATCTTATACTTGTCATACGAAAGTCTAGGTCGCCGGCAAGATGAAATTGTTTGTAGTATTTGAGTATCCGTTATTAACATCATGTATTGTTCGATGTAACAGTTGATCGAGTTTATAGGTTTTTTTTCGTATTCACTGCATTGTAAAATAACAAACGTACTAGTGACATGAATGAAATGTCAAGATTAAGTGGACCTAGTATTATGGGCTTTTTAAATGTAATTTATTGTCAGTATTCCTGCATATATATATATATGCATAATCTCCCCCCCCCCCCTCCCCCTCTCTTTTTTTTTTTTTTTTTTTCTTTTTTTTTTATTTTTTTTTTTTTTTTTTCTTCCCCCCCCCCCCCCCCCCCCATTTACAGTATAGTTCAATTGTTTTTCATGAGAAACCTGTGATACTTGTTTCCATTTATTTTTTCCAAGAAGAATTTGTGACTTTTGTTAATATTTCCTCTCTGAAGAAAGGTCATTGTATAAAAGAGAAAATATGACAATGATAAACTTCATTCTAAAACATGCAGATATTTCAACATTCGAACATATGTTTTAGATTTTCTTTAATATTTTGACTTACTGTTGAGTTTTGTTCTCTTTATCTCTTATGAATCGAACTGCTCATTGTTGATCTATTTCAGTTTTAATAGTACATTTACTTGTTTTCGTACCATAATAGTCTAATGAACTATATGTAACGATATGGAAGTTGCATCATATTCTTTTCATTTATTTCTCTTTTCTAGCATCTCTCGAAGTCACATCTGCTTCGAGATTGTTCAACTTCATAGTATCATACAAACGAAAACAAGGACAATGAGATTGAAATTAGAATTAAGGGATAGTGTCTAATATAAATTAATTGATGTAAATCTTTCATCTTCAAACAGGATAACAATCAAATCTAATAGTATATTTTAGTAATTTCTATAGCGACACGTTTGCTAATCATATTTCTCATGATTGAACGAAGTTTAGCAGATAGTTTCATTATTAGTATACGAAAATAAATGAAGATAAAATGACATTCACGATGCTAAGTACGAAAACTGTGTATATGATGTTAGCTAATTATAAAGAAAAATGTATTAAAATATACATACAATTAGATACAACTTAGACGCAATATTTCGGATCGGATTAAATTCAAATTTTCGATTCAGAATACTAAGTCCAAGTTCTATTGATCTCTAGATCTTTATGGTAGGACACAATGATTGTCCCGCACATCTTTTTGAATGATTCGGCGAAATCTGCTTGTTTCCGAAGCCTATCAACATCGACCTAAGCTGAGGATTTTACATTCGTCACATAAACAATAGACGGTAAAGTACAGGAATTGTTGAATCTTCAGGTTTAGTACGTGTTCTGATGATATAAAGCGTGGCAAGAAATATGAATCAACATCAAATGCACTTAGTTAGGCAGTGTCTGGATTTAATAGAAATGTCAGAAACAGAAGTTATGATAAACATATAGTAAATTGGACAGTATATTCACCTATATATTTTATTTTTCGAAAGGATAGCGCTACACTACAGTAAGTGTACCAAATATTATTTGAAAATAATGCAAACATCAGATGTCACTAAAATCAGTTCCTTAATTTTAGTTGATCAGAAGAATTTAATATCATAAATAATTATCTATATCAGTGACATATTTCATATACAGTTAATAGCGGTCCTTGAAAATAAGTTCGATCCTAAGTGCATTAATGGATTACTAGTTCGATATTGATTTGATCATTCATGTATATGGAATCATAGACTTAATAACAGTTCTCTCGACTTGTTCAGGAGCGACATCTAGTATAATTTTGATTTGGTTCGCTACTAAATTTGTCAAATAAAAAGATTGGAATAGATTTCCGTTATTGTTACTCAATGTAATTGTTCCAATCTGACGTGAAAAACACCTGTTAATAGATATATCCAGTTTGGTGAATTTTTAGACAGAGATGGCTAATCGATTCAAATTCGATTTAGTTTCGGATCGAATATCATCTTCGTCATCAAAGTCTCGACGATCTTATTCACAACGAAATGTTTCTTCATTACAACAAGAATTAACAAAAAATCGTAAAATGATCAATGTTAAAACATCAACTACTGCAATTCTTAATCGTACATTAAGTTTTAAACCATTACCAATAACAAAGTAAAATATTTTTTTAAATAGAATTTTCAAATTATATTTCAATATATTTTTCTAGTTCATCATTAGCAAATGTAGAAAATACACCAGTGAAAATAATTCCAATTAAAAAACTTTCATTTGATTTCGATGCTTCTAGTACGGTAACTTCATCATCACAAGGAACAATAGAAAACAATGAACTTATAGAAGAAACTCCAGTAAAAGAAGATGATGATGGAAATGATATGTTGTCATCAGATATAATAGGACGTGAAATTCAACGACTTTCTCTACGTCTTCGATCATCGACTCTCTGTAAGATTTTTTTTTTAATAATATCAATTATAATTTCATTATCTAAAATCATAACAAAGAATCACATAAAAGAAGTCTCCATTTCAAAAAAAAATTAAATTAAATTTTAATTTGCTTATATCAAAATAAATGATTTGAGAGAAAAATATCTATTATTGATTTGTTCTTTTTTTTTTCTATTAAGTATATAATGTTCCCGTGCTTGAGAATCAACCAAGTAGACCAGCTGCTCTTCATCTTTCTCAAGTAGTCAATCGTGTATCTCGTTGTAATTATGTTTTAAGACGTTTTGTACGAGAAGCACAAAAATATTCACCTAAATCAGATGATATACGTTCATTATCTCAACCAATATTATCAAAACATTTTTCATCATTACAATCACATGAAAGTATGTTTGAGTGAAAGCTTTTTTTTTTTATTTAAATAAATATAAATCAATTGAACATCGATTTATTTTCTTTTATTTCAAGAAGGTAGACGTCGTTTATTTGTTGATTCTCCTAAACAACAAACATCTATTTCAATATCTGAAGAACATCAACTACCAATAACACCACGAAAAGCTAGTGGTGTTATAAAACAATTATTTTCTTCACCATCATCATCATCTTTCAAACGAACTCTACCATCACCTAATAATAGTTCTACAAATATTGATAAACGACAAAGACTTTTCTAATCTAGTTGTTTCTCTTCGTTTTTTTTTTCTATGTCTTATACTTCCATTCTTCCAGTTTTAACTCATCTTATGTCAGATAGATATATATATATAGTATTATATTGGATTATCTTATTCTATAGATGACTAAAAAAGAGAAATATTCTGCCGACTGTTATATGGCTCGTGAAAATTACTAACATTCGATCAAGAATATTATTTTTATTGGCAAATTTATCTACGGTATTCTATCAATAAAATAACTTATATTAAAAATTGATAATTTTTAACATATATCAGATATAGATTAGTAAATATGTTTTTCTATTTTTAATTGTCTATCTGTTCATCCAACTTAAGTAAGGCATTTTACCATATCATGTCTTTTATAAATAAAATTTTGTTTTTATGATTATTATTACAAATGAATTTCTTTTTTTGTTTTTAGTCATTAATATTTCTTATTATATTGTGATTTAATGTTTTCTAACCATTTTTTCTAGATAAAAATGGTTTGGTTTGAAATCATTCCATCACTTGTTCTTACTGCAGGTCCGCTTCTTGTTGTTGCGGCGCCTACTCTTTACATATGTAATTGGTATTTTCTTAATGGAAAAGTAAATTTAATATTAGATTATTAAATATATTCTTTTTTTTTTATCTAATTAGAAATATGGACCAAGAAATTTGACGAAAGATGATCGAGATTATTACATGTTTCTAAGAGATCGACGTATTACGGGAAATGAATATTATCCTCGTGTATGTATATTTAAATATAGAAGATGAATTATAAAGAAAAAAAATAATTCTTTTTTTTTCTTTTCTAGGGTGTTGAAACCATCGATGAACGTCCTGCATTGGTCAAACTTCGAAATCTTTGGAATATGTAGAATCATACATACTGACTTATTTTGCCTCCATTGAATCTTGTTTCTTTTTTTTTCTGTCTTTTAAAATCCCTCAAATAAATAGATTC